GTTTAATATCATCAACATCTAACATCAATATAACTGGACTATAAACTAGTTTATGGTTAGAACTCACAGCTAAAAGTTCCATTCCAATTTCAACATTTTTCATGAGCAATGGACCGTTTCTTGTACGCACTACTGCATCCAGAGGAAAACAACCACCACCGCCACCACCACTGTTGGTGGTTGGATTAGTATCACTTGTTCCTGTTGGTGTTTGAGCTGTTGTTGTCCCTATTGTTGTTGCTGTTGTCTCTATTGTTGTTGTTGTTAGAGTTGGTGTTGGTGATGCAGTAGCAGAAATTGCTGCTTTAAACTTGCCTTCTGTCAGGGAAAAATTTCCACATTCAAACATGCTGTCAGGCGGTGGTGTCTTCTTCCCTTTCTCATTAATGATGACTCCCATTCCCTCCAATTGATGTACCTCAATATGACAGTGTAGGAACCACCAACCAGGATTATCAGTTTTAAAATACACAACAGCATACCCACCAGCTGGTATTAACAGAGTATCCTTTAATGGGGCAGTTGATGGTATTTTGCTTGTCATTCCTGTACGTGAAGAGTAATCCTTATCAGGTTTCCAGCGAGGCATAGTACATAGTGTATCACCTCCACAATTGATATCGCTATTGCCAGCAGTAAGTCTTCCTGAGTCTTCATCAGTTCGGCCGAATCGGATATCAACGACATGAAAGTAATGACCATGAAGATGTACTGGATGAGCGAATAAAAATTTAGAAGTCCGTGGATTAACATCATCATAATCTGGTCCAGTTGCTGATATCACCAACTCAATGTATTTATTAGCCTCCACATCAACAACATGAGTACAATAACATTTGGGAGATATCACTTCATTTCCATTATCACGATTGCATGTATTAGGCTTATTCAAATCTTTACAAAACTCTGTACCATTAATGTCATTTAGTTTATTTGCCTCAAGCTGTGCTAGTGATGCTGATGGTAGTTTTAGGTTACGAGCATTTACAGCACTGGTGAGCCGTGTTCCTTCAAAACCGAAATTGAAGAATAGCCTTGAGTTATCACTAGTAGCAACATCGGGCAGATCTTTCTGCATGTCTGATGACAACCTTGTTAAGTTATGAATGTGTATACACTTGATGTTGAATTGTTCAGGGAAATTTTTGAAAGGACAATTTAGAGCTTGACATGGTTTGTTATCATTACATCTTTTACTAACATTTTGACTACTTGCAGCAATACCTGCATAGTCACTGGATAATGTTGTAGTACTTCTGTAATTGAGAATAGCTTCTGCTGACTGTTCTTCTAAATAAGTTGATGTTTCAGTGAAACTTAATGTAACTGCACGTATCATGAAGCGTTGATTTTCATTTTCTTCTTTTGCTTCTAAAAGAAAATCATATCTTTCTCCAGAATGTATGATGATATAATCAACTGTCTCTGGCTCAATAAACTGACCATCAGTTGCTATTACTGTTAAATCATGTTGTTCTATTGAGAAACGATAAGCATAAAGACTCTGAGCACCAATTAAACGAAATCGATACATATTTCCAGCTGTGACATTAAAGTCACTTAAAATAGAATTAGAGTAGTCAGTATCATTATGCCTTCCCCTTCCATTTATTAGTCCAGACCAATAAGGCACGGGCCCTATCTCTGCACCATCTGATGAACGGGTTCTTGGGATATTAGCTCCAACCAATTCTGATGCTTCATCTATATTAAAGTACCTGATGCTTGAGTGTATTTGTGTGAAGAGATCCAGTGAATTACTTTTCTGCCAGTCAAGAAGAGTGAGAGTATGTTCGTTAGGATTATCCACATAAGTATTCTCCTGTATACCCATTTCATTCAACTTTTTCATGAAGGCAGTGTATTGTGGATTATCTTGCTTCTCTTTAACAATGAGAGCTCCAAAGAGTCCATCAGTTCTCTGAGCTCCACTGTGAGAGTGGTACCAGTGAGTCCCGTATTGAGTTGCATAGAAAAAATAGCTAAAACTAGCTCCTGGAGGTATACCACACTGTGTAACATGCTCCACTCCATCCATCCAGTTACTGTTCCTTTGATGCATCCCATGCCAGTGTACAGATACACTCTCTGATGCTAATCTATTGATTACATTCACTTTAACCAACTGACCCTCAGTTACAATGAGTGTTGGTCCTGGTATACGTCCATTGACTGCTATAAAGGAACGAAACGTGTACCCATCAACACCAAATGGTTGAGTGCAGTTAGTACTATCAATAGAGCTACCACAGAGTGTGTCTTCAGGATCAACTCTTTCCCATTCTCCTTCATTATTGATACACCAGACACTGCCTGCAGTGCCACGAGAGTTTCCAGTACCATCAAGCAGATATCGGGTAAAGGTCTGCAGCATCTCAATGTCAAGCGTAAACTCGCATACATCATTAGGATTTGTAGTCTTGCATTCACATACTGATGTATTGTGATTGCACGGGACAACCTCAATCTCAGAATATACTTCCCTTACAAAGAAGAGGGAGAAGAATACAGCTTGTAGTAAAAGCATAGCCATTTTTAAAATAGCACTTCTTGGTAGCTGTACTTTCTCTCTCTCTGTTTTATAGTGACCCCAAAGAATTTCCACTTCTCAGATAAGGCACAGCTATTAAAACAGCTCTCAGAATTGTTATCTGTTAAATACTGAATTTGTGTTGATATCTGTAGCAGTAGTAATTCTTTTGAATTTAATATTTATTTTTGACATATTTTGTAATCATCATGAATATACTATATGTCACTATCAATAGCAACTGCTACATATTTGAGAAAGTATTGTATGCATGTTGTATATGAACAAGTCTATAGGTATATCACCTCACTCTATAAGGCAGTCAGTGCTACAGTTCTTAGAATTGTTATGCTATCCTGTCTGCAACTGTAATTCTTCTGAATTATAGTAGTTATTTTAACACTTTCTGTAATAGTATCAATTATAGTGTGAATATTGCTACAAATTACAATGTCCATCCAGTGGTTGTCAATAGCAACTGTTACCACATTTGAAGAATGCAATCAATTGATTTACTGAGATACACTACAATTTATGCAGGTTGGTTGACCCAATTTTCTCACTAACATATCACTTTCTGGTCATGTGACATGAGTGGTGAGAGTCACATGAATAGCAAGCTTGCTATAGGAAAATTGAATAAACGTAGTACAGTAATACTAACAAACATATGCATGCATATGAGTATTTAATACTACTACTTGTAAATTGGACATTTTATTATAGTTTTTGATAGCTAAAGAAAAAATGCACAACATAGCTAGATCTAGTGTCGTTGAAGTAGACAATTCTAGGGGTGAGGATCATTTATTATGCCAGCTTTTCTGCTGTTCCTTTTTACTCCATAAATCATCTCTGTCTTTACTGAGACATTTAATCTCAGGATAGCCTGTTTGGATTGTTACTTTTGAACAGCCTAAAATTAACTCTTGCTAATAATAATAATGACAACAACAATAATGATAATTAGCATACACATGCAGCAAATATCTAATATTAAAATGTTCACTGTTTTATGTATTATGTGTACTATAGTATTTCTACTGCTCACTAGTGTACTTTATTGTTTGTTGAAGAGGTTAGTAATAGAGCGATAACAGGACTAATAACAGGAGTATTATTAATGTTGGTACTGGTGTTAGTGCCGATGTATCATTCGAAATTACGCCTTTGAACTCGTCTATTGTCAATGAAAAGGTTCCACATTTTAACATGCTGTCAGGTGGTGTTGTTTTTGTCCCTCCTTCATTAATGATGACTCCCATTCCCTCCAATTGATGTACCTCAATATGACAGTGTAGGAACCACCAACCAGGATTATCAGTTTTAAAATACACAACAGCATACCCACCAGCTGGTATTAACAGAGTATCCTTCAGTGGAGCCTTGGGATTTATTTTACCATTACCTTGATCATACATGCTACTTCTTGCTACTTTCCATGAAGGATTGTTGCATAGCGTAGGATAACCTGGTATTGATTGACACCCACAATCAATGTCTGTAGTACCAGCTGTAAGTCTTCCTGTAACGGGATCAGTTTGGCCAAACTGTATATCAACGACATGAAAGTAATGACCATGAAGATGTACTGGATGAGCAAATAAAAATTTAGAAGTCCGTGGATTAACATCATTATAATCTGGGCCAGCTGCTGATATCACCAACTCAATGTATTTATTAGCCTCCACATCAACAACATGAGTACAATAACATTCAGGAGATATCACTTCATTTCCAATATCACGTTTGCATTTTTCATCCTCATCCAAATCCTTGCAGAACTCTATATTTCTAATATCATTTAGTTCACTTGTATCAAGCTGTGCTAGTGATGCTGATGGTAGCTTTAGGTTACGAGCATTAATGGCACTGGTCAGACGTGTTCCTTCAAAACCAAAATTGAAAAAAAGTCGTGAGTTATCATCAGTAGCAACATCAGGCAGTTCACTAGTTGGATAATCTGTTAGTAGTTGTAACTGATGAATATGTATACAGTCAATGTTGAAACTTTGAGGAAAATTCTTGAATGGACAATTGAGTGCTATACATTTATCACTATCAATGCACCTTTGACTAACAGTTTGACTTCTAGCTGCGATATTTGCATATTGACTGGATGGTGTAGTAGCACTGTTGTAATTGAGAATAGCTTCTGCTGACTGTTCTGTTGCATAAGTTGATGTTGCAGTAAAACTTAATGTAACTGCACGTATCATGAAGTATTGAGTGGACACTAGTTCATCTTCTTCTTTTGCTTTCAAAAGGAAGTCATATCTTTCTCCAGAGTGTATTATGATATAATCAACTGTCACTGGTTTAATAAACTGACCATCAGTTGCTATTACTGTTAAATTATGATCTTCTATTGAGAAACGATAAGCATAAAGACTCTGAGCACCAATTAAACGAAATCGATAAGTCTCTCCAGCTATAACGTTGAACTCACTTAAATTAGAATTGATGTAACCAACACTATTATGCCTTCCCCTTCCATTTATTAGTCCAGACCAATAAGACACTGGCCCTATCTCTGCACCATCTGATGAATTGGTTCTACCAGTTTCTGATCCTTGTAGTTGTGATGCTCTGTCAACTTCAAAGTACCTAATGCCAGAGTGTATTTGTGTGAAGAGATCCAAGGAGCTACTTCTCTGCCAGTCTAAAAAAGTTAGAGTGTGATCTTCTGGATTGTCTTCATAATCTGTTATATTAAAGCCTATTAAAGTTTTAACTTCTTCCAATAACTTATTTTTTCGTTCATCGTCTTTCTCTTTACAATGAGAGCTCCAAAGAGTCCATCAGTTCTCTGAGC